TATATATATTTCTGTATATATTCAAACTAGGACTTCAGCCCCCCCCCTCCCCCTTTACCGCCCTTGATATTTTTTTTCTTTTAACTCGTGGAAAAATAAAGAACTGCTGCTGCAGAGGAAACCATGGCAAAAGCTGCTGCCAAAGTCCACCAGCCATTTTTATATTTCTAGATCTTCTAGAACTTGTCTACTTTTAATTGTTGCCCTCGCCACCCTCATCATCTTGCTGGTCACTCGTCCACAGCGTTAAGTTGTCTCGGAGGAGCTGCATAATGAGGGTTGAGTCTTTGTAGGAGTCCTCATTGAGGGTGTCGAGCTCGGCGATGGCGTCGTCGAAGGCCGTCTTGGCGAGATGACAGGCCTGCTCCGGAGCGTTCTGGATCTCGTAGTAGAAGACCGAGTAGTTGAGGGCCAATCCCAGCCGGATGGGGTGAGTGGGCTGCATATGCTCTTTGCTGATCTCGTGAGCCTCGTTGTAGGCCTTCTCGGAGGATTCCACCACGGTGGAGCGCTTCTCGCCCGTGGCCACCTCGGCCAAGTAACGGTAATAGTCTCCCTTCATCTTCAGGTAGAAGACCTTGCTCTCGTGCTGAGTGTCGCTGCAGTTCTTGATCAGGAAGTTATCCAACAGGTTGAGCACGTCTTGGCACACGGCCTCCAGCTCCTTCTCAATCTTCTCGCGGTAGGCCCTCACCATCTCGATCTTCTTCTCGTTGCCATCCGCGGATGTCTTCTGCTCGATGCTGGAGATGACCCTCCAGGATGAGCGCCGAGCGCCTACGACGTTCTTGTAGGCGACGGACAAGAGGTTCCTCTCTTCGTTGGACAAGGCCTCGTTCAACTCGGTTACCTACAAAGGAAGGAAATAGAACGCTGTTTGAGGAAAGAGACGTACATCATCCAGCAAGGTAATAACAAGCTTTTCTTGTTACGCAACTAATTTAGCGATAAAATGAACGTGCAACAGTTAATGTTTCAGTTGCATAATGATAATATCCACAGAGAGCTTCATCGGCTGGCAGAATGCATTGTGCAGCCATGAGCTCGAGCTATATGCCAAGTGCAGTTTCCATGGCAATTGTCTCATTTTGTACAGTAGTCCAACTCTATCTAGTGAGATGACAGAGTGCTAGCGCTACACAATACACTAGAGGTGAAATCACTTCAGCCGAGAGTGGGGGCAGGGGCGGGAGGCGAAATGTTCCCACATACCCTCCAGGGCAGCTGCAGTGTAAGTTAACACGATCGCTGTGCGGCAGTTCATGTGTTACAGTGGCCTTCTCGCTGACCTTTTCTCTTGCCAAACTGGGACGGCTATACTACATATGTAAAACGGGTTTGATTCCATATTTTCACGAGGATAAGTCATAAATCACTCATGTCAACTACAGATCTCCTTCTAGTCAACAGAGCCTCTTTGTGGTGCAATTACATAATATCATGGGTTAAATTGTTTTCTGTACTCTCTTGAAAATAAAGGTTTCAAAACGGTGTTTTCGCAGTGATGCCACATTTTGGTCTTTGTGTGAAGAACATTTTAATAATCTGAAGAACCTTTTCCACTATAGATAACCTTTTTTGGAATGGAAAGGTTCCATGAATGTTAAAGGTTCTTCATGGAACCATCAAAGCCAATAAGGACCTTTATTTTTGTAAGTGTACCACTTTTCAAATGCCATGTGCTTCAGATCAAGGTGTTTGATTTTAGCTACCAGCCACAAAAGCTAAAATTATTCCCTCAAAGTCCTCAGAATACAAAGAGAACTGAATTCAAAGGCAGCTTAGACAATTCAATAAAGATCAGAGTAGGAAACAGGAACACTGCTCACACAGGAAGACGGGACTCATTACGAAACAGAGGCAGGAGGATATGAAATGGTTTTATTTAAACACACGTATTGCTATTTACGCAATATTAATTTGGCATGCCTTTCACAGACAGATAGTAACAGATATTTGTGGTGGGTGATGGGTAACCTTGTTACCTAGGTAGCCGTGTTGCAATCGCATGCAAATATTTACATGGAAGGAAGACTTTCACAAATGTAAAGTAAGAACTAGATGATCTCACTCCAATGTGAAGTTTGAAGCTTGGCCTATTGCTGCTTGTCTCTTTGGCCGGACGCATCAAGATAATGAAGGCCTGTGGGCACTTTCCCATCAGGTCTGTGGCTAAATGGGCTTTTATCTATAGGACTGAAGTAACTTTAGAGTCAAACTGCTTTTAAATCTCCCCCACTGATCCATGAAGCTAAAATTGCCTGTCCTGCATACACAACAATCTTTGCAAGGATGGGAACATTCCCTTTTAACAGCCATTTGAGATTTAGACCAAGGTAATATGGCTCTAAGATAATACAACCATTTTAGCTAAATTGATCGGGTGGATCTTGTCTGTCACTACTCTATGTTTCAATCAATACACTTAATCTAATATTGCACATTTTGGTATTAAATCAAGACTTTATTGTAAAACACTGCTAATGAGTGCCAACACATCTGGGGTTGTAAATTAACAGATTTTGCACCCAGTTGCTTTATGACTGTTTCAGTATGAAGATCATTTATTGGACAATGAACAAAGAACAAAGAGTATTGAGGCAGACACATCTACATGTCATTTTTAATTAAGTCAGAAACGTATTACCACGGGTAAGAACCATTCAATCACTCAAGAAATAAGAGATGCTAGACGACACCCCTCCAGAAAAAAAGCATGATGCCAACCCTTGACGAAGCAGAAACGGAGGGGTCCTCCTCAATTTCCATAAGCCTGTGTAAGAATTGTCTCCTAAATGCCCTCACCCTGATGGTAATATAGTCAGGATGCTGACAGTGAAGAAGCGTTAGAGATGCAGATGTTCCCCTTTCCCCTCCTCAAGAAGCCCTAAGGCCTTGAATGTATTCATTATGGTGCCCTGTACATTCACCCACTCAAATACTGTTAAAATATACATAGAAATAATATTCACTATGAATTAAAGAGATCCCATTGCCTTTAATAATCTATAAATCGGTAGGTTTGAAACAAGAAGGAATATCCAATCTGAATCATGGACCTTACTGCAATATGACAAGGATGGAAGATTCTAGAAGGAATGCTGCTGCCTCTAACGTTGGTTTAGAGGAAATATCTTAATATCTCCCATATGTGGATAATGAATATGGGAAGTCATAACTAAATTGTGAGGATGCTTTAGAAAAAAAAGGCAGTTGGAGTTTATATATGCTGGTGATGGAAAATAAATATCTGATGCATTTATGACAGTATGCTTGGGTAATGAACAACAATGACAAAACGCCTATTTCTAGTGTAAAATCAAATACTAGCCATTACACTGCGTTTATGAGCATGAATGTGCAGTTACGCAACACAGCGATTGAAAAAAAAAATAAAGTGCAAAATATTGATTTTTTTTTGTATTTCAATAATGCTGAAAGCGATGTTGAAACATCTTTATACACTGGTCCTGTATCGTCTCATTCATTTGATTGTGGGCTCGGGTAAGGCAGGAGACACCGCCCAAG